TAAATAAATAGATAGATAGATAGATAGATAAATAAATAAATAAGTAGATAGATAGATAGATAGATAGATAGATAGATAGATAGATAGATAGATAAATAAATAAGAGTGGTTGGCTACTCCCATAACTGCCACTGTTGCCCCAGGCCAGTCAATTCTGAAGCCTACATAATTCACAGCTAGCTAAGACTGATGACTCCTTTTTTCCTCAAGTAGCATGCACAGCATGTGCCGATACAAATGAAGCTTCAAGGTAGAACTAGCTTGGCTTCTTCATATTCTATGGCTTTCTTACATGGTGCCTTCAGCAAGATACTTACCCAAGATCTGGAGAACACTCAAGAGCAATGGCAATAGCCTATAACATTATGGGGCAGAGTCCATGGGACTAATAACTCCAAAGGTAACTCAATTCTGGCATTGGCTTTTGGTAGCCTAAGGGGTCTAGGAGGGGATTGTCTTCTCATTAAAGAGTATATCATATATACATATATGTATGTATATATATATATATATACATATATACATATATATTCTATAGTAGGTTTCCATATAACTTTTTCAAAAGTCTTTAGTGTTAGCTATCCTTCCCCATAATCCCTCTTCTACCCTTCCTATCCCACTTACTCCTTCTTGCCCCCTTACTTCCCATCCCCTTCATATTGTCTATGTCCCTTCCCTTAAAGCCCTCTCCCCAAGCTTCTTACCAGTTTCTTGGCCCTTATGGATATTCCAAAGACATCTAAAGATTCAAAGCTAACTCCACCAGTGTAAGAAAACATGCCATGTTTGTCCTTCTGAGTCTGGGTCATCTCACTAAGAATTATTTCCAGCTCTGCCCATTCACCTGCAAGTTTCATGTCAGTTTAGGTCGCCTACTTTTCCATGTATGCTTTTTACATTCACTTGTCAGCTGCTACAAAAATACTTAATGGGCTTTCTACTGAGATGATGTTAAATCCCTATCAATTTTAGAACTGATAACAATATTGACAAAATTCTTGGGCATCATTGTTTTCGTCATTGATTTGTCTGCACAGCTTCTCTGAACAGTATTTTTCACTTCTGGGGTGTGTTATTTTTAAATGGCCAGACAACTCTAATTAGTTCATATTTTATGGTATTATAGTAGCATAACAATTTTAAACAATTTGTTTTTCTAGTAGTTTATTTCTAGAATATAGAAAAAACTAATTTTACCAATTTTGTATACTTCAGTTTTATTCAGTTCACAAATTAGTGCTGCCGTTTTTCTTGTACATAGACCTTGTTTAATATCCTACCTTGTGCCTTAGTGTATTTAGGCTGTTGTAGCAGAATACTATAAATTAGGTGTTTCTCATGATTCTGGTAGAGTCTGGGTAGTACAAGATCAAAGAGCTAGAAATTTCAGTGTTTGATAATGGCTTGACTCTTTGGTACAAACATGGGCGTGTGTGTGTGTGTGTGTGTGTGTGTGTGTGTGTGTGTGTGTGTGTTGTCCCCATGTTAGATGCAAATGCCCACCAGGTGATTGTGGTATGGGTCCAGGCACGAGGATGTGAAGAGCTGAGTGGGGGGTGGCCAGTATTCCATCTGTCACTTTCAGCTTTATTCCCTTGAGACAGGGTCTCTCATGAACCTGGACCCATGCTAGCAGTCAGCAAGCCCCAGCAAGAATCTTGTCTGCACTTTCTACATCAATAGAAATATAGGCATGTGCATGGCCATGACAAGCTTTTTATGTGAGTTCATGAACCCCCAACCCTAACTAAGGTTCTATGGACAACTGATGGCTTCTGATGGGGGAGAGGAGTGGCATGGTATCAACTTTATTTAATGGTGTGGCTTTGGGTAGGTTGACCATGCTCAGGTAGATGGCCATATACTCATAAGCACATGGGCTGTGCAAATTAGACTTAATAAGTTAAAAAAAAAGGAGATAATGTGAAGTTGGAGGGTAGGAAGGCAGGGGAATTAAGGGAAGGAGTGGATATTAGACATATAATATAGGTACACCTATAATTGGTACACCTAAAAAAGCTAAACAAGGAGGGCGGCCCTGGGTAAGATGATCAATCCTCACTCAGAAAGGCAAATGGGATGGACATCAGAAGAGGGAGAAAACAGGGAACAGGACAGGAGCCTTCCACAGAAGGCCTCTGAAAGACTCCTCCCATCAGGGTATCAAAGCAGATGCTGAGGCTCATAGCCAAACTTTTTGCAGAATGCAGGGAATCTTATGAAAGAATGGGGAGATAGAAATACCCAGAGCGGATAGGAGCTCCACAAGGAGAGCAACAGAATGAAAAAAATCTGGCCACTGGGGTCTTTTCTGAGACTGATATTCCAATCAAGGACCATGCATAGAGATAATCTAGAACCCATGCACAGATGTAGCCCATGGCAGCTCAGTCTCCAAGTGGGTACCCTAGTAAGGGGAAGAGGGACTGTCTCTGACATGAACTCAGTGGCTGGCTCTTTGATCACCTCCCCCTAAGGGGGAAGCAGCCGTACCAGGCCACAGAGGAAGACAATACAGCCAGTCCTGAGGAGACCTGATAGGCTAGGGTCAGCTGGAAGAGGAGAAAGATGCCCCCTTCAGTAGACTTGGGAGGGGCTACAGCTGGGATACAAAGTAAATAAACTGTAATTAATAAAATTAAATAAATTTTAAAAGGGGGAAGGGATGGGCGAGTATGATCAAAATACACGGATGAAATTCTCAAAAAAATTAATAAAATATTATAAAATAGATGCTTTTTAATAATAATAATTGGTCCTTGTAGAGCTCCTATCCTTTCCATATCATACTAACTTCCCTTCTTTCATATGATTCCCTGCACTCTGCCGAGGGTTTGGTTATGAGTCTTAGTGTCTGCTTTGAAACACTGCTAGGTAGAGTCTTTCAGATGCCTTTTGTGGTAGACTCCTGTCATACGTTCAATGCACATCCCATTTGTCAAGACTGACACTCAACCAAGGACCATCTATGGATATAACCTAGAACTTCTGCTCAGATGTGGCCTGTGGTAGCTCAGTAACCAAGTAGTTTTCCAAAGTAAGGGGAACACGGACTATTTCTAACAGGATCTCAAGGGCAGGCTGTTTGACACCCCCCCCCCAGGGGAGGAGCAGTCTGTTAGGCCACAGAGGAGGACTTTGCAGCCAGCCCTGAAGATACCTCATAAAACAGGGTCAGGTGAAAGGGGAGGAGGTCCTCCCCTATCAGGGGACTTGGAAAGGGGCAGGGAGGAGACCAGGGAGGGAGTGTGGGGTTGGGGAGGGAATGAGGGAGCGGGATACAGCTGGGACACAGAGTTAACAAAATGTAACTAAAAAGAAAAATAAAAAAAATAATAATAATAATAATAATAATTGGATATATCTCATATCCAATCCTCAATAATCTTGCTAGTATGGTTTCTGTGGCACAGAGGAACAGTGAGGGTTTTCAAAATTCCTTCTGTTTTCTGTGACTATGATCTATGTCTTAAAAGGCAAATTTTTACCTCTGTAAATTCTGTTTTCTGACTTGATGTATTCTGAGAAAAAAAAATTGTCACAGCAAGGGCAATTATTGTAGTCAGTGCTCCCATGTGTTTCTACATTGTGTGTGTGAGTGTGTGTGTGTGTGTGTGTGTGTGTGTGTGTGTGTGTGTGTGCTGTATCTTGCTTTTTCTGTGATATGGCCCTATAAATTGATCATAAAGGAAGTCATTAGAGAGTAAGATACAGTCTCTGAGAATGATGTAATATTTAGTGTTTTGTTGCTGACAAGGGTGCTCAGAATAAAGCAAGTGATTTTATGACTTAAAATTTAGTATATAAAAATCAGTTAATATTCTAAATTTCTAATTATTAAAATTAAGAAAATGATACCTCAAATTTTTTAAATTTGTCTAAACATATGTATGTATGTACATGTATACATATTTAGTATATGAAAGTCCCACATAGTACCCAAATAATACATAAAAGTAATTCTATATGTGATAGCTAAAACAAAAATTTAAATAAATCATTTGCCTTTGTGGAATTTAGATAAGATGTCAGAAAAAGTTATAATGGGTTACAGAAAGTAGTATGTGAGGTTCTAGGTTATATCCATGAATGGTCCTTGGTTGGGGCATCAGTCTCAGAAAAGACCCCTGGGCCCAGATATTTTGGTTCTGTTGCTCTCATTGTGGAGCTCCTGTCCTCTCCCAATCTTACTATCTCCCCGTTCTTTCACAAGATTCCCTGCACTCTGCCCAAAGTTTGGCTCTGAGTCTCAGCATCTGCTTTTATACACTGCTGGGTAGAGTCTTTCAGAGGCCCTCTGTGGTAAGCTCCTGTCCTGTTTTCTGTTTTCTTTTTTGAGAAACAAACTGACGTTCAAAACTTTCTAAGTTTAGAGCATTTCAGGTTTGGGATTTGGGGATTAGAAATGTCCAAATTGTAAAGTCTATGTAAATAATTTAAATTTTGAAAAACTTCAAATCTGAAATACCTCTAACGCCAAGCGTTAAGAAGTAGGATAATTAAATTATATTAGTAAGCATGAGTACATGTCAGAGAGAATAAGACCAAGAAAGGAGACAGAGATAGCTAACTGCACATGCAAAATGAGCCTTCTGGCAGCAGGCTGTGGGCCTGAGTAAATGGGGTTGGCAAAAATCACAGGCTCCTTAATGACAGTATTGATGGAGAGGTCACAGGGCTGCTCATGCACATGGTAGGCAGACCTCTTAAGTTTTAGATTTGGGGACCTTCTCCCTTTTTCTGCAGCCCCCTGTGCCAATGCCCAACACCTGTAGGAAAAGCATCCATTAGAAGAAACGAGAGCTGAAAAGCTTCCGAGGTCCTTGAATTGTAAGCCTGCCAGTGTCCTCGAATGGTACAGGGAGCCTCCACCTTCTTGTGTGGCCCGCTTCTGTGCCAGGAATGGAGAAGGGTGGCAGGCAACAGCCACAGAAGGCCAGCACCACACACACAGAATTGCAGACAACCTTCTCCCTGACGCCAAACTCCCATTCACTCACCTGCTCCCGTAGCCTACTATTTGCCCACACCCTGCGGCACACCATACACTCAAATGTATCGATGTAGTTGTCTTGGCTAATGTCTTGCACTCCCCACTTCCGTTCCCGGAGAGCTGTCAGTAGTCGCTGGTTAGAGATCTCACCCTTCAGCTTCCATTCTACATAGGCCTCATACAACCTGTCATCATCATCCAGTTGTCTAATGAAACTTGCCAGTTCTTTGGGGTGAGAAAACTCAGATACAAGAATGGTACTTCTGTTACTTGGAAGCCAGTCTGCGACGGTGGGGGACCCATAATACACAGGCACCACCCCCAGTTTCAGCGGTCTCCAGAACTTCTCTGTGATGTAGTCATCACAGACTGCATTCTCAAAAGCAAGCATGAACTTGTACTGGGCGATGATCCTGTAGAAGCCATCAGCATCCATGGAGGCAGAATTTTTCAGCCCCTGGGGAAGGGCTTTGTTTTGTAAACACTCGCCATAGGAGTCAACTTCAATGTAAGCCATCAGCTCACGAACATAGCTGTCCCGGTCTGATGGTGGATCACAGTCAGACTGTACGTACACCAGGGGAGCAAGCTTTTGTCTCAGCTTATTTTTAGACTGCAAAGGAACAAGGTATCTGAGTGACGTCAGGGCTTCCACACCTTCCAAGTACTGAGTAGTCAGCGGCAGGTGGGAATGCCTACTGAATGTGGCTGTGTGGTTGAATAAGGTGATGACTGGCTCATGGAAGAGCTTATAATTGTTCTTAGGAGATTCTTCATGGAAAAGGGCCCAGTCGTGATGGGCTTTCCGAGGCAGGGGTAGGCTGTCTATGTTAAAGTCAGTACCTAGAAGGAGAAAATAAAATATGGATGAATATATCCAAAGGAAGCTTGGTGTCTCAGAAGAAGATCATAATACAGAGGAGTCTGATGCTATAAGTAAGTACATGTGTCAGTGCCCCTCCAAAGTGCCCAGAAGCCAATTGTGAAGCCTGCACCCCAAAACTTTAACCAAGCAAAGAATCACCAAATATATGATTGTCTTTTTCATTCTATAATAAAGGTATAGGAAATGGACGGAGCTCTCAGGCAGATTTAAAAAGAGTCATTATTCTACTGACTTCTGCTCTCCATTCCAGAACTGTTGTCTACAATATAGCAGGAGAAATAAAGACGTCAAGATAGACAGACAAGAAAGAGAGAGAGAGCAAGAAGGAAGCCACAATGGAGAAAGCTGTCAGACTGATTGATCAGGTTAAGTGGGGAGGAGTCATGCAAGAGTAGCCTTAAGAAATATGCAGAATAGATTTTTTTTTAATCCAAAATGATTGATTTCAACAGAGTGCAGTTGATCAATCTTCGTCACAATGGCAGACAGGAGGTTTTTTAAGACAAAAGCACTGATAATAGCCCTAGCTTACAGACTGCAGCAGGGATAGGCAGGAATTAACAAGTACATCGAAAAATAGAGAGCCATAAGAAGCTGATAATTAGGAGTGACTCTGGCTTCCATAGGATTAATTGGAAAATCTTTGATATATGGTAATATGCAGCTAGACATGATGGATGTGGCCAGCAGTTATTTCCTGACCACATGGGTAGAGATCCACTCAGGAAAAACTAATTTCTGTGACTAAGGGTGAAAAATTAATACTTTATCACCATATAGAATTTCCAAATGCTCCTGACAATGATACTGTGAACAGTGGCCTGAAGTTTTTAAACATTAATGTAAGGAAATAACAAAACCAAACTACAGACACACACAAAGGGAAAAAAAACTCCCTCTTCTATCTCCTACTGGGGTACGAAAATGTACCAAATAACTACAGCAGTATAAAACATAGTATCTGGTGGGCTCATAAAAATGAGTTACATACCATAAGTGCAAGTGCCCTCAAACAAATACAAACTCTTTGATGTCAACAGTACATCAGTGAGAAATCAGGCACTCAGAAAGGCTTTTAGTCCAAACTGGTGAGACTGGATGTGGCAACGGCTTACTCACAACCTACCTAGCTCATATGGAGGCAGGATGGGAGTCCTGTGGGTCACCCTGTACCTCCAAGCCACCAGTCCAAGGGCCCCGTTAACTCTGTGGGGTCCAAACCCAACTTCACTGCAAGATAAAACCCAAAGCGGAGGAGCCAGTGTTTGGAGGCAGCAGATATCTCATACCCAGGTGACTGAGAAGTACGAGCATGGTGAAGCCTTCCTGAGAAGAGGCACCACATGCTGTTGGCGTGGACACGCAAGGAGGTCCCTGTACCGCCCAGAATCTGGTGGGTCTGCTCGCCATCGAGTGCAGAATCTCCTACGTGCTGCAGGCTAATGAGAGAACTGAGACATAACCAGCTTTGCATTCTGTGGCTACTGTGGCAATGTTGCTCACGCATTCTTTCCTGGTCACTGCTTCTGCAGCGTGTGGTCCCCGACTCAACCCAGTGACACACTGAGCAGTGCTATTGAGCTCTGTGGCACATACATTTTTCTCACTAGTGACTCAAACCAGAGAAGGAGGAGGAGGAGGAGAAAGAGGAGGAGGAGGAGGAAGAAACATGTTCAAACCTTTATAGGTGACATTAGATTAAGTCAGAGGAGACATGCTGAACACAGAGAATTTGTCAGAAAGATACCTCTCTCTTGGTAATGGGCTTGTGTTCTCAGTCATCAGCAAGAGTGACCGTTGGTTGGCATTAGCTATATTTGATATTAAGCATCAAGAAGCATGGTCACCCACACACTTGAAATGTAACATTCAGGGTCTAGAAAAAGAGTGTGATGTGATTGTTCACAGAGGTTAATAACTATTTACACAGAAAAAGAAACAGGAGGACATGACTTAAAGTCTGGGAATAAAGGCAACTCACCATAATAAAGCTGTTGCTGCTGGCTGGTGGCAGCCAATGACGGGAACATGAGCCCATGACAATTGATTTGGAACATCAAGTTTCCACCTACGCTATAACAGGAGATGGAGGCCATGCATCTCAGAGAAAAATGCTAAACTCCTGTGCCCGCCCATAGTGGCCACTCTGTGTCCACGCGTGTTGGCCACACTTGGACTCCCAGCGTTTGTAGGGCTGGCGGATCCTATCTAACCCTTGAAAGGCTGAAGACTCCTAGCATTTGGAAAGTCGAAGAACCTTACAGAGCACATGAGAGGCGATCCACGGACAACAGGCTGTCCACTGCGTGAAAGATTCTTACTCCAGGTCACAGAAGACAACAGAAACTCTAAACTATAGAGCAGTGTGGGAAGTGGAGGAAGTCCTGAATTTCTGAGGTCCTGAGTGAATGTATATTTTTGGCATTGGCTTGGCCATGTTATGGACCTCAGCCTCAGGCCCACGGGAAAATGGCAGTCTTCCCTTCTTGTCCACATGTGCATGTTGATGTCTGCAGAAAATGTCCCCCATAGCTTTCCCTCCTCAGATATTTGCAACCGGATAACTGCTCCCCCCAACAGAGCCTGCTCCTACTGAGACTGGCTAAACCTGTCTCCTTGATCCCAGGAGCACCACACCTTTGTTTCTCTGTATGCAATAATCTCCCCTCCTTGTTCAGCTGTATGCAATAACCCCGCCTCTCTGTTCAACTCATAAACCCACTGAGCTTCTGGGCTGCTGTGGTTTCTTTAACAGAGAGCCAAGACTACACGATCCCAGAAAATCCATTTGTCCATCTATCTTTTTTTTTTTTTTTTTTTTTTTTCATTTCCTTACCACCTAATCTAATCCCTCCCTGGAGTCTTGCTGTGTGCAGCCGAACAGGGACACTAAATCCCAAAGCCTCTGCCAGTGTTCACAGAGTGAAGAGAGGTTGAGCTACCTCTGCTTGTCTACGTCAGTGAATTGCAGCCAGAAGTGAAAACAGCCGCGCCAAGATTTCTGCGAACACTACGAAGGTCCGTGCGTGCTGTGCTGGTGATGTGAAAGGGACTGAAACGAGCCTGTTACTCGTTACAAGTGTACTCAGCCTCTCGGAGAGCTGCCACAGGATCTTGATGTTAGAAAGGACACGGGATGATGCACCCCTCATCACCAGTAACAAAATCAAAACAAAACAATACCTTCCAGAATCTAAGCAGAGCTATTTATATTTGTTTAGTGAGAAGCAGTACACATAGCTGTATGTGGTAGCACATACTGATAATCCCAGAATTTGGGAGGCTGAGGAAGGAGGAAGGAGTTCAAGGCCAGCCTGGAGTGCATGACCCACTCCAAAACCAAGTGCTGAGAATTTACCTCGCTGGTAAGAACATCGTGCCTAGCATGCACAAGAATGGAGGTTCAACACCCAGGACCTCCCCACCAAAAAAAAAAGAAAAAAGAAAATAAAAAAAAAAGCTAACTGTGAAAGTGTAGGGTCCTGGTTCTCTCCTTTTAATTCTGTGGCATCTGCAGGGATAGGAGAACCCCTCTCTGAGTGAGAGATGTCACTTTAATAGAAAGAAAAGTTAAAGGATCTAACTTACCAAAAATACTTTACGTATTTGCTATTTTAGAAAGCATTTCCCAGTAACTTTCCTGATAAATACCCAATACCCAGCACAACCCCAAGTCCCTAAGCACAAACATTATCACACTAAGTAAGTCTTCTGTTGAATGTTCCAAGCTAAAATTCTCAAGAGAACTACTTTTTAAATGTCACTTTGTCCCCATAAGCTACTGTTCCTAGGCCTAAGCTTAAGACAGAAAACACTCAGAAATAGTAAAAATCATAACCACTGCAGAAATCAAATCCCACACTGGGGACAACACAACTTACAGCAGTGTCAATGCTAAACCATTCTAAAAGGGAGCAGCTAACAACAACAAAAGAAAAAAAAAAAAAAAGAAAAGAAAATAATTCAACTTCAACACCAAGGTAATGTCTATTACAAGAGTGCAGTTGCAATCTTCATTCAGAACAGCAAATGGGATATGCATCAGAAGAAGGTGAAAACAAGGAACAGGACAGGAGCCTGCCACAGAGAGCCTCTGAAAGACTCTACCAGCAGATACTGAGGCTCACAGCCAAACTATGGGCAGAATGCAGGGAATCTTATGAAAGAAGGCAGAGATAGAAAGATCTGGAGGAGACAGGAGCTCCACAAGGAGAAAAACAGAACCAAAAAATCTGGGCCCAGGGATCTTTTCTGAGACTGATACTCCAACCAAGGTCCATTCATGGCGATAACCCGGACCCCTGCACTGAGGTAGCCCTTGGCAGCTCAGGCTCCAAATGGGCTCCCTAATAAGGGAAGCAGGAGCTTTCTCTGACATGAGCTCAGTGGCTAACTCTTTGATCACCTCCCCTTGAGGGGGGGCAACCTGACCAGGCCACAGAGGAAGACTATGAGAGACACTCCTGAGGAGACCTGATAGGCTAGGGTCCCAGGGAAGAGGAAGAGGTTTTCCACTATAAGTGGACTGGGGAAGGGGCATGGGAGGAGATGAGGGAGGGAGGAAGGAAGGATTGGGAGGGGATGAGGGTAGGGCTACAGCTGGATAAAAAGTGAATATGTTAAAAATTATATTAAGAAAAAAAAAGAGTGGAGCTGAGTACAGCAATGTGATGCTGTACTATGGCCGGCCCCAAAAATGGGACTAACTGTACATGTTCACTGGTTTATACAGTCACTTTTGCTGCCTCTGACAGCTAACAGCTTTGGGTTCAAGAATTTGTTTCTCTGGGTTATTTTGTATTTACTGAATATTGGTACATTTATTAGCTCCTTTAAACAGCTGCTGATGAACAGAACTTATGCACTAAAAAAAAAAAGAAAAAGAAAAAGTGCACCGTAAAGGAAATTATGATTAGTGATAAAGTTGCTGCTGGCAAATGATGCCGGATTGCTGACT